CCTCGACTTGAGACCAACTCGAGTTGCAACCAGAGTCACGGAACGGATTAAGTTCGTATCCCGAGGTACCACTGTATTTGCCAGATGACATAAATAACTATGTATGGAAGTTCATTCCCTACATTACCGAAAACATATAAATGCACTCTGCTGTTGTCTAATCCACCTATTCTGAAAACAAACTGTAGTGAGTGGGGTCTGAGAATGCAAGCAAGGCAAGTTATGTTAACCAACTTTCTCATTTCATTCCCCCTTTCTTTTATAGAACAACACCTTTGAACCTTATATAAGAAGCTGCCTTATATTTACTAAGACTGCCCAACTGGCAGCATTGTTTGAAGATTTGTTCAACTTTACCTGGAAATATCAGAGACTGACTATGCAATCACCAGCATGCATAGCAGGTACTCCAGCACTAAGCCACTCCAGATAAAGTGAAGCAATGATATGCTAATGTAATTAACATCATCAGCTGTTTTGGTAAGATATTCTAGCCATTTTGTAAGATCTAAACCCAGAAAACAAGACACAAATATTCTGAACAAATAAACAGGTTGTAGAGAATAGATTTTAGCAATTTGTGATCTAGTCACCAAAGCAGTTCAAATTCATATTAAATTGAAACAACATGGTTTTAATTATAAGTCCAAGAAGACATTTACTATGAGATATATTTACTATTCTCTGTCAGAGATGCAGTCTGAATATCAGTTGTGTTATAATCTAACCTAACCTAATTGGCAAAACATGCTAAGCACTACATAGTTAGATTTAGCATACCTTAGCTCCAACCATTCCTTCAACTGTGATTAAGGTGTAACAGCCAAATATATATCAGCTAACAAGAATGTGACCAGCAAACAATTGTTTTCTGTCATGGGACTTATGGATAAATCTCTTATTCATGTTGCAGGAGTGTGCTTGCTAAATTCATACATCACAATAAACCATAAATGTTGGTTGGTTGATTCTGGCTTATATTATGACATGCAACAAACAGTGCTTAAGCAAATCAAGGTTTAATGCACTGTGTGAATCAAGTAATTGTGTTCAATGGAATATAAAAGTAATAATGCTTCTTTTTTAAAAAAAGACTAGCCTTTAACAACCTAACAAATGTGTGAAGGACTCAAAATGGTATTTTCAGTGATAAAAAAAGAAACAATGTGACACAGACAAACAAATCATATCCAGACTGAGAATATATAAGGCTAAATATAAAAAATCAAGGCATGGAAATGAGGAATGCAAAGCAATAGCGTTCAAATTGTTTTATAAACAAAAATTCAATTTACAGTTAGCAATCACCTGCTTTACAGCAATAGAAAGTCCCAGTCAAGTTGGTTTCAATAACAGCATGCCAGCCTTTTGCACTTATTAGTTCAGATGGGCTAGGAAACTGTCCTCCTCCATTGTTGATCAAAAAGTCTATCCTACCATGAAGATCTAACGTCGATTTCATCAGTGCCTCTACCTACAAGGAGAAAAAAATTGGACTGACAAGGCTGATGTTCCATTTGCAGATTTCTGTTCGGCCTAAAACTGTTCTAGAAACTTATATAGGTGGGGATTTTTTTTTTTATGGGAAAATCCTTTCTACAAAGTAGTTCTGGGTAATAAAATATTAGTGTTAGAAATCACAACATGGCAGTTAAAAGTATCACCTAGAACATTCTATAGTGAGGGAATTCCACAGCAACCCGAGATTTCATCAGAATTACAAAATCTGTGTTGTGATTCAGCTATAGTATGTCTGCAGAAGGATCTGTATAAGTTTACTGAGAGTTCACTCTTAAGTGTAATTTATAAAGGAGAAATACGAGTATTAAAGTCAAAGACAAGGCAGAATGGGTCTGCAAAAAGCTGATGTAAGCCTGAATAATTCCCTCCCAAGCCCAAAACACTGCAGTATTAAATACATGTACCCAAGAATTAGGACAGATGTAATAAAAGAGAAGGGTAGAAGAATTATTCTATCCCTAAAGTTCTGCCCACTCAAGCCACTTAGTTTAAGAATCCTATTCTCCTTTACCCCTTTTTCCTTACTTTCTTTCCACTGGAATACCTAATTATCCAGGGAAAAAGGTAGGAGGCAAAATAGGGAATCAAATGAAAGTAGGTTGGTGTTTTCTGAAACCCATTTTCCTCTAAGGAGAAATGGCTGTAGATCAAGGATGACGAGAGAAAGAGACGTTTGCTTATTTTTTTTTCCTAAACTACACAAAGCCAATCTGCCTTGTTTTCTTAAATCTTTCATCAGATACTGCATGCCTTCTTGCATGTAAGCCTTGCTATTTGGATAGCTACAATTACCCCGTTTGATGTTACTCTTCATTCTTTAACGTAGTGCCTGTACTGCACTGTTGCTATTACACAGAAAAGCATTTCTCCTGAACAAATCACTAGAGAGCAAGCAGTTGTCCCTCATGAAAGAGTAGCAGGTAAATTTTCTCAGAGGCAAAGGAAGACATAGCAGAAAAGCTACATGAATTTTCATCTGGACCATTCATAAAGGAAATTAGTAATAGTCAGGTGTAAGTGTGTTGACAACAACCAGGAGCCTAGAACTGGTTTCTTGGTGAAAAATATGATGTAACGTTTGAATTTGCTGTCAGAATACAATACGACTGGATGGTTGTTGGTTTTTTAATGAATAGTTTCCATCTCCCCAGGTTCATGCAGGTCTCTAATGCACAGAACTGATAGGGAGTATGAGACTTGAAAATCACTGACTATATTCAATTCAGCCAAAGACCAACCCAGAGCATAAAAATAAATATTTAGAACCACTCTTCATGCAGATGGCAAAATTAGGAGGAATAGCAACTTATCACAGAATAAGAAGTATACTTTATAAAGAAGTCCAAGAGAAGGTTCAAAGATAAAGTGTGCAAAATGTTTCACAATGTTGTTTCAAACTGTGTTGAGCTTTAAAAAAAAATGCAAAACATCCCACTTCAAATGCAAAACTGCTCCTTTGAGCATTTTGAAAGAGTTTCAATTCCAGTAATCAGCAGATTCTTTCTTAACCTTATAGGTCTACTCATGCTCCTATGTCTGCTCCGAAGAACTGAGGACCCTCCAAATTGAAGGATTCATACTAATGATATCATTATGCAAATAACCTAAATTGGTCCAAATAATATCATCTGCATGACATCAACATGCAAATGACATAAACTGTAGTAACAATTTGGTCTACTGCATGCATAGTCTTTTGCATCAAGGTCCTGCAAAATGTGTTTTCACTGTATACGCCTGGCTACCAGTGATTGAAAATTGGTTATGGCATTTGATCAAGAGGCCTATAACTTTAGCAACTCTTTGAAAGGGGACCAATGGCAGTGGTTTAATAATTATGGGTCCTGTCATTTCAGATGCATACTCCAGAACAAGCCTCTGGAAAGAAAATACCATGTTTACACATGACAACATCTGGTAACTTAGTGTCTCTTTCCTGGGAAAGATGATCAAACCCAGTCACAGTAGCTACAATATAATAATTTATATGTAACAATTTACTGGATGTAGAACTACTGTACTAAAAGCCACAGCCTGTAATGGTGTATCCTTGACAAAGGGAAGCTGGCAGGCAGTGCTGTGCTGTGCTTGGAAGCCCTGTGCCAAACAAGCAGAATTATTTATAGCACACTGATGGGAAAGCTTTGTTAGAAAGTAAGGATGCCCTTGTGGGAAAACATTAAAACTTAGCATTCAACAAGTTTTTTCCCTAGATGGTTTATTTGAATCTGCTGTAACAGATTACTCAGAGAAACAAGAGCTGCTGACAAATGTAGGCATATGAAAAAGAAAGTATTTTAAGCTGTATAAAGGAGAATTTAAAGAAGGGACACTGATTCCTTTCAGAGTGATAATGTTATCTTAGTCCCTTGAGGGAGACATCCTTGTAGTCACAACCTCAGGATGCAAAGACCCCCTTTTCTGATTCTGTCATAGAAGTTACACACACGCCCGATTCTTCTGATTAAAGTGCACTCAATAGTAACATTCTTCTCTCTCAAGTTCTAGGCTCCTTGTTCTCGGAAACAATGACTTGGGTTAGCATGTTATGTAAAATAGTTCTCTGTGATCTGTAAATCATAGCATATGACTTAGCAGACTGTACTAATTTGGAAAATCACAATTAAACTAAGCATGACTTAATGTGTTGGGCAAACATAGGTAAAAGTGAGTTCTGATATTGTGCTAAGCCATAGTTTGCTTAAGTATTATTTACCAGCGATGCCACAAGATGCTAAACCACACCAAGCAAAATGTGTTGTAATATGGTATATGAACCTAGGCAAAATCTCATCAAAAAAGCTTTTTTTAACTTATTCTTCTTTGCTGAAACTGATTCTTGACTCAATAGATTCTGGTTTTGGGTTCTGTTCATTTGATGGCTCTTTTCTGCTTCAATCTTCAGGATACACTTTGGCCTAGCTTAGGATCATTTCACTTTTTGTCATTTCCAGCCTAATTCTCAATTTGTTCATTCAACAACTCTGCCATCCACTAGACAGGAAGTTCGGGCTAGAGATCACAAAATACTTTTAAAATTGCACAGTATAGCTGAAAATTGTATATGGTTGGAGGTGAAGCCTAGGCAAAAGCCTTATACTGAGGCAGATCACTTATCACATAATCCGATATTGCTTGCATAGACTGGCAGTACAAATGCTACAAAGTAGTATAATGCTGAGCCAAAATCTTTTTTTTTTCCTTTTCTAAAATCAAAGCAATTGCCAAGTTATAATTTCTTTTCCCAATAAATAAAACTTCACCTAAAGCATGGATCCTCAACATGATGTCCTTGATCATTCTTTTGATATCTTCCAAATTTCAGCACTGTTAAAGGTGGATGTTACCCACAAAACACATAGGATTAAAAAATTTTTTTAATAAAATGTAAACTATCCCAAAATTTACAAAGCACCTGAACACACCCTCCTAATCAATGTAAAAACAACTGGAAACAGCAACACTTGCCATTTCCAGCAAAGGAACTAATATTTAGATCATTTCTTTGGTTTAATTTTTCAACATTGGGATGAAAATATCTTTATTTCACTGTATTAAAGAAAAGAATTATCCAGTAAACAATACACTAATCAAATGTGGAAGACTATTATATTTTTACCTCATCTTCTTTGCGAATGTTGCACTGTATAGGAGTCACCTGGGCAGAACTGGTGGAGGGAATTTCAGCAGCTAACTCTTTTGCTGCAGCTTTTAACCTGTCAAGTTTACGTGAGGCAATCACTACATTACAACCTGTCAAAACAAAACAAGAGGTATTTCAATAACAGTACAAGCTGTACAAAGTTTCTGCCAGAATTAAACCAGATATCTTGCTCAAGTATTAAGTCTGGGCTAATCATCCCTTCAAGCATCACTTCCTGGACTATCAAGAGCTTTCTGCTGTTTGGAAATCTACAAAGAAAGAAAAGATGAAAGTATTGCTCATTCTAACCTGACATTTAATTTGTGAACTGCATGCATTCCTCTCCTAGTATTAGAGCTAGTTCTTAGAACAGCACAAACATCCTGAAACCAGGCGAGTCCATTACCAAAACAAGAGGCAGTCCAAAACTATCCTTCCCACCAAAATGAGTAGCTTTAAGCCCTTTACACCATGCGGTTTGAAGAAAATGGAGCAAGAACTTGAACCTTGATTTCATTATAAATAGGGCTTGCGTTTGATAAATCCTTTCATAATGGCTTTTCAAATTTCTTACAGTAAATCTTATCAGAGTCTATGTCCTTCAAAGTCTATTCACACAAGTTTTTTGCCTGATATCTAGGGTGAAATGTTACATGCGCCAAGGTTTGTTCCCATGAGTGGACTTGCTCCTCTCCCCCCACCTAAATCTTCTTCAAAGAGTCTCACTTCACCACAGTATACTGTATTTTGAGGGCTTATGGGAGGAACAGGGAAATTTTATTCTTGCCTTGTATCCATTCAGAAGATAGCAATTTTCTACACTACTTTTCATTTACAGACTGGAAAACCACCTTTCAACAATGTCCAATATATATTAGTTCAATATTAACAACAGCAGAACCTCCTGATCCAAAGAACCATCATAACTTGTCTTAAAGAAGGGCATTTTGTCTTTAAGATCTGAGCAATTTCTTGAGAAAGGGGAGCAAACACCCATCAGTTCCAATGTTACATTAACAAACAATTATTATTGTTAGCCACCCAGAGTCACTGGTCTGAGATGGGCAGCTATGTAAATTGAATAAAAAATAAATAAAAACTAATACTAATCATTTCAAAAGCATGTTAGAAAATCCTAAGTCACATAGTAAAAACTGCATAGTAGGATCTTCCTAACTGGTTTACAATTATAGAATCACAGAACTGAGAGTTGGAGGTAACCACAAATATCATCTAGTTCTACTTTCTGCGATGTGCTGAAAAACTAATTAAACCATCCTCCAAACTAGCTGTCCAGATTCTTTTTAAAAACTTCCATAGATGGGGAATCCACAACTTCAATAGGTGGACTGTTCCACTGTTGTACAGATCTATAATACCTACTTTAAATAGCAGGCTAAGCCAAAACCAACTTATTTAAATTATGAGTTATTGCAGTGTGAGAACTCAACTTCTGTGATACTCTGTAATATATTTCATTCCACTAAAATATATAACATCTTCAATAAAACATGAATCTGTAATTTTACCATGTGCTTGATCTGATACCCAAGCAACACAAATTGCAACTTCCTAGTATAACCCATGAATATTTCTCAAATGATATAAGCATTAGAGTTTAGACAGTGTTCATATACCATTAAGTATAACCCAGTGATTTTCAAGCTGGAAATCACATGCACTGCAAATCAACATGTCAATTATCCAGTACCTATGAGTACAGTTTAATTATTCAGAGGTTTTTTTGCACAACAGAATTAACAGAAAACATGCCATTATCTCACCTCTCTCCAATATGATTCTTTGTCAATGTTTTTCTATGGTTATGCCGTTCAAATCATCATATTCAGTTAGCACTAGCTGGAATTTGACACTATAATTATTTCTTGGTTTCAAATTCTAATTAATACTAACTTGAAATTGCAGCTATTCCCAGATCAGATGACATATCATCAAGCATGGTTAAGGAGCCATGTACATCAAGGGGAACAGGTCATGTATGCATTTCCATTAACCAAATATAGTAACTTAACATGTCAGGACAACCAGGCTTTTTAAGAATTCACAACCTGCTTTTTCAGTTAAAATAATTTTCTGGGTTTACATACAACACTAGGTCAAAATGTCAGTGTAGAGAATAAGGAAGATGATCTTGATGCAGATATGCCTATGCAAAAGGGACTGAAATATTTTTTAAGTCCAGAATGTCCAGATAACATTTGGAGCCAGCTCAAACAGACATCTCCCTAGTCCACTGGAGTATAAGGTGGAGGAGTTACAACACAATCAGACTTGCCAGATTCTGTTATTATAGCCAATCTCAATAAAAGCAGTTTTACCCTTCTTGTGGAGTTGGTTTCATGATCTGGTCTACCTAATGGGCTTGACAGTCAGTGGATAGTTTATAGCTCACTGTTTCACAGGAACATAGCCTCAGAAAAAGTGTCCAGTAAATAAGAGGGCCAAGTAGATATTTTGTAGGTGAACACATTCAAAAATGTTTATGTCAGCACTAAAGAGAAGGTCCCATGGCAATTCTGAAGTAAAGCACAATTCCCAAATCCAGAGATCAAAACATTAATTTGAGCCACAATCCAGTATTTACTAGATTACTAAACTAAGTAATCACACAACACATGAAACAGCAGAAGCACAAGCAGTGAAAGCAATAGTGGGGGGAGGGGCACTATATTAGTTTTTCAGCTAGTAAAGGGCAGGAGAACTGTTTAATCAAAAATGATTTTACATAATTATCTTATGGCAGGACACTGCAGTGAATACCCAACCATATTTTTCTTCCTAAAGAAGGAGAGAAGTATAAGTACCTAGGCTTTCATTTTCATATTAGTGATTGTTTTCCCAAAAAACATTAACAACAGTTGCAAATCTGCTCCAGGAATCTGGCAAAGTGCATTGCTTAGTTCCCATAATCTTACACATGCTAGCCAATAATTGCTCAAAAGATGAAAAGCCAGTCTGACCAGTTTGCTTCCAGCAAAGAATTCCCTCCCCAGGTTTTTCAGCACAGGGAAAACATGTCAGTATCAACTAAACAGAAGGATGAGCACATGTGAACTTAACCTCCACCCATCTGTCAGTAGCGTGAGCAATTTCAAAGTACGTAGTGCTCATCATAAAGCCAAACCCCAACTAAATCACTGATCTAGTTCACACATATAGTTTATCTAGTTTCAGCTGGGCATGCTGCATGAACCCAACCAACTGTAGTTTATTTGTGAACCCAAGAAATCAAGAACAGTATATTTGAGAAGAGTCCACATATACTTTCCAAATAAAAATAACATTTATTTTATAGAACTAGAGCAGAATGCCAGCTTTTGATACAATTGCCACATCATCACTAGGTCAGGTTGCATCATAAGCTGACACAGTTGGAAATTTAAACATGTTTAATGTTTGATAGATTGAGCAAGTGGAGAGGGAAGAAGAGAAGCAGAATCCTAAGGCACTGCACAACAAAGATAATGTTTTCTTGAATTTTCTTTAAAGCCTACAGTATTTCCTTCAGTTATGCACCATTAATATATGGCCAACTTCTCATTAAATTACACCTCCTTGAATCAACTCTGACTGGTTCTCGCTCTCTTATTCTGAGCTGTCTTCAAAAGGATTCCTCTCGATATTCACCCAAATGGGCACAGACTCAACATTGTTTTTGGGAAAACAATCACTAATATGAAAATGAAAGCCTAGGTACTTATACTTCTCTCCTTCTTTAGGAAGAAAAA